CCTGCCGTGGTAAGGCCCAGACCTGTCCTCAGTCCCCTAAATTCCCCTGCCTAGTGCTAGTTCTATTAGTTTATTATCGAAGATCAGTTCATCATTAAATCCTGGCCATTAAATAAGTTCCTTCTTATTATGGTAACACATCTCTGACCCTGTGGATTAATTTGAACCTGTGCGACCTCATTAGCTCAAAGCATTCTCAATAATTATCTTGGGTGAAATTCCCAAGGTGGCGTTGGCCACTCAGCCCCCTCTTGCCCCTGCCTCTCTCTCTCTCTCTGTTTTAATCAGACCCCAAATGAGACAAAAATTTACTATCTAGCCACTCTGTGGTCTCGGGAGGAGAGCGGGCCGCAGCTTGGGAGACGGAGCTTTCGTTGGCAGCTGTAGCAGCTTGAAATTGGCTGGATTTGAGCTGGTGGCTGGGGGTCCGTCTCCAGACCCCTGATCTGCTGCCCACTCTCCTTTAGGCATGATGGTCTGTAGTGTTGGGGGTGAGGCTCTCTGATTTGAGGCTCTAGCTAACGTTAGCTACATAAATATGGAGTTGAAACTGCAGCTTTAAGTCTTTAGCTCCGGTTAGCATAGCTAAGCTATTAGCAACATTTTCTCTCGCCGATATCAACATGTTTTTAGTTCATGTATTGTCAGACTCTCTTTCTACTGTCATTTTTTTGGGGTTGGGTAAGAACTTCCTCTGCAGGATTTTCTACCATTGAATCATGTTTTCATTGAAGGGGGCGTGCATGTTCATCTCCATCTGTAGAACAGCCAGTAGAAAACCCTCTCTCTGAGTGATTGGCTATAGTCTCCTGTCACTGACTAGATTTTCTAAAGCCTGGAAACTGAGCCAAGAGGAGGTTCAGAAATGTAGTTCTCTCTCAGTCCACTTGATTTACAATGTGCTCAAAGTGTATAATGGGATTTTTGCCCAATTACACCAAAATTAAACAACCCAGCTTTAAGAAAACACACAAAAGAAACACAAAGCAATGTAAAAATACATATGAAAAGGATTTAAAAAGTGTGAAATAAAGAGGTTATAGAAATGAACTAGATCAAATACAATAAAACAGATTAAACAGGAACACTGTCACAGAGCAGTGCAGCTGCAAACAGAATTTTTTTGATCTCTGATTTAAAGAGTTGGAGAAGATCTGAAGTCTTCCGGGATTTTGTTGCATAAAAACTAAACGCTGCTTCACTTTTAGCTTTGATGGACAGTAAGCAGACCTGTCCCAGAGCAAGGCAGAGCAGAAATGTATTTTGGCCCTAAACCACTCAATGCTTAAAAACAAAACAAAAAAGACGACAGAATCACTCATTTAGCATCAGTATGGACGAAAGTGGGTTAGTCGTGGGTGTGCTGTGACATATTGACAGTTGCAAGTCTAATTTCCAGTGGGGTTTATACGTCAGCGTTGAATCAACGTCGTACCTATGCTGTAGGCTCTGTGTAGACGCATACCCCACACCGTAGCCTCTCCAGAGATGTAACTATATGTTGCAGTGACGCAACAAAAAACAAAACTTCAAACCATTCACCTCAGTGAAAACAAGGCTTTTATTTACTTTCATTCTTCAGATAAGAAACAATGAATTCTGAAGACTATAAAACCCCCACACAATGGAACCTTAAGTCTTGTGTGTGATTTATCCTGGCTTCATAGAGGAATACTCTGCTAACCACTAGGCTAATTTATACAATGTAAAATGCCATGGGCTTGTGCTAATAACATTAGCATGTTGTTTTTGTGGGGAGTACACATCTAGCAAAAGGCAAGTGTTTTGACTGTGACTCTTGCGAGTTAGGAAGCCAATTTGTTTACTTGTGTTTGAAGCTGTTGCTACTAAGCCATGTTTAATGTGTGTCTTAGGTGTGTTTTGAGTTACTCAAACTCTACAGCACTACAGCGTAACTGCAGAGTGTTGTTGTCACACTGCCGCACAAGAATAAAGGCTCACAAGGGTGTAAGCTATGTGCGTAGGCTATGATGTAGGGTCTGACAAACAACTATAGATCTGCCTTTACACAGCAGACTGCTGATGTTTGGGATGTTTTCTGACTTGCAATGATTCTTTGTGTTTCATTTTTGCTAAAAGTGATTTTTTTTCTCTTTATAGTTTTACTCTTTATAGGACAGAGGTTTGGTAAATTTTCCATGGGAGTACGTGTTTGTCATGTCACTCTGTTTACAGACATGCTCTCTTTTTCTCCCTCACACACACACACACACACACACACACACCCAAATGCACACAGCAGTAAGCCAAAAAGCAGAAGGAAGTGCTTGTCACTTCATCTATTGCTTATTCACCATATGAACATTATCTAGGAGGATGTATCATGTATTTAAAAATCTTAGATGACAAAAGACAGTGATGTAGCATTAAAATGTGCAGCTTTGAATGCTTCTTTCAGCAGGAAATCAATCAATCAAACAGGAAATCAATTTTAATACCAAAAGTGTCAGCACCACAGTGGCCCAGCAGGTGTCAGCGTAAACCTACAACACAAACACAGTTAAACCTAAAGCATGTATTTGATTTGAGGACACATCACATGCTCACAGTGATAAGGCAAACATTAACCCACATCTCTCAGCATTTACACAAGCAGTGATGTTTGGCACTGATGTAAAAGAGGGATTGACTCATGTTTTCACATGTTTGGTAACTTCTGCTTTGCCTGGTTTCTCTCTCTTTCTCTCTGAAGTCTTCTGCATAATGACACTCACATGTAAGCACACTGTGTTAAGAAAAAACTTATCATTTTTACTTGCATTTAATTATGACTTGCAAATAAAAATCCATGCATCATCTTTAATCTGCATATCACTCCAAGAGATCAAATAATGCAGTTAAACCACCACCACATATTGTTCATTAATGGGGCTTTATGTGCACTAATACAAGATGGAAGGTTCCTGAAATCATTTCGCTAATGCTACACTGAAGGGAGTTTGAATGTAAAACTTTGCTGCTTATTAGTTCATCGCCATAAGCAGCAAACTGTCCCTCAGTGTGGGCAGGGTCTCTGATGTGCCGAAAACGATCAGCAACACCTTCTTACAACTTGCTGAAAAAAGTAGTTAACCTCCTTAGAACAGGAAATACTGCTTTGACTAAAGTAGCTGTGGCAGAATTACATTCATCACAGTGTAATGACACGTCATTTATAGGTGATAGATGATACACTGTTTTCCCATTGCTAGTAGACCAGAGCCGTGCACATGACTTGGCAGTAGACGACTTTATCTGTTTTGTTTCTTTTCTCTGGTGTGTCACGTTTGACATCACAGACAGGCCAGAAAACAGATAAGTAAACAGTAGAAAGCAACATGAAGGCCAGTATTACAGAGGTTACATCTTTTTAATATCTGTTTCTTATTCAGTCTCTCAAACTAGGTGCCGAATAAATTTGAAACACTCTTTGAGTTCTGCTTGCACAAAGATGGACAGTATTTTGCAGTGGTCTGCCATTGCATCGTATTTTTATTACTACAGCTTCAAGCAAATAGGAGCTGGAGCCTGTAAATATCAGTGACTACTGCAGAATCAATCGGGTCTCACTCCAAAGTTGACGAAATCCAGCACTTGAACAGTGACTTCTGGCATCGGACACCCGTGAAAAAAGGCAGCCTTTAACACGGCATCAGGAGAAAATGTGGTGGGATAGGAATGAAAGTTGGTGGATGGGTCCAACAAACACTGACTTTCACCCAGGAGAGCTGTGTTCACATCCCGTAAGATTATCAAGCCAAACCTTGTTCTTATTTCCTAAACCCAACTACATGTTTTTGTTGCCTAAACCTAACCACATGTGTTAATTGTTGAAGGGAAAAAAAGTAAATTCTCACTGTCGTTCCGACGTAGCACGTTTATTTTGAAAGACACTGAATGTAAACAGTAAATTTCTCATGGTGTCCCAAAACATCAAGGAAAGTCAATGACCAAATGTCAATATGCAATGAGGTCGGAGTGAGAATGTGTTGGCAGAGTCATTTTACCCTGGAGTGAATGCTGATTGTAACCTTTCCCATTAAATACAAAAGCCAGACATTTGTGGGTTTCTTGTGAAGTGGAAGAGGAGCATTGTAAATCAATGTGGCATGGTTTGACATGGCGCGGCCAAAACTGCCGGTAGAAAAGCTCTATACTGTATGGGCCCTTAAGAGATCTCATTCAAAAGCACATGCCCCATGCACAGCGCTGTCAGTCCTTTTAGCTTAGCGCAGGTGATTACAGGAAACATCAGATTGTAACATTTCAAATGAAGATTTGAAGAAGAAATCCAGCCCTCTTGTGTGCGGTGCATCTATTTATTTGCTCTTCAATGATCTTGCTTCTATTATCATTTGTTTTTATATACAAACCATGATGCTGCCATTTTTTGAAGATGTATTATATGAGAAAGACCATTTTAATTGTGTTTTACTCAGCCTATGGGCAATGACTTCCAAAACTTGAATATCTGACTATGATTTGGTGATCTAGGAAGTAAAGCTGGCACCTCACAATGAATAGTATTTTCCAGTGCTTGATAGTATGTGAATTTCTCTGTCTTTATGCTGCATGATCATAACTGTCTGATGTTTTCCTGTTAATTGAGCATATCCAGGTCACTGCACTCTGTTCATATTGGTCATGTTTATACACTTTTATGATGCCAAAAAGCAACATGTTGTGCAAAACAAAAACCGTAAGAGTATATAAAAAATATTTTTTAGATCAACAGACTGAAAATGAAATGATTATGAAATGGTAACCTACAAATATCTTTGCATATTGAGATAATGTGATCAACTCAAATCATAACACATAAAACACTATGAATTACAACTCTCATTTCCTCACTCAATTTCTTTTTAGAAAGCTAACAGACTTCAAAGGCGTGACCCTTAGAGGTCTGGTCAAGTTACTTTGGTGTCACACTTAGCTCTACTTCATCTTCTAAGTTTGTTCCTTTGAGGTTTGTGACTTCCTATTATCTAGGACTTGTACGCCCATGAGGCTAGTGCTGAGTACCGTGTCTAACAGTAACAGAAATCTCATCAGACCTGCCAGAGACTGAGAAACAGGTAGGTGATTTATTGCAAAGGGAAGGTTTATGTGTTTAGCATGTTTAGCACCGGGGGTAAGAAAGAGGAGACTGTTTTCACAAGTTCCACTTTTAAAGTCAGTATCTCGCAATGATACAGATATATCCACTTTCACTAACTTTTAAATCAAGTGAATGTGCAGTGGAAATGTCATTTGATTATTTGTTAAGATAAAGGATGATTTTAAGACTTTGCACGAGGATTATCTTTGCAAAGTTTGTTTCTTTGCTTTTGCAGAGTTGACATCAGCAGCAGAGTAGTTACCAGAAATAACCGAGCAATGGCTGTAGTCAGTGATACACAAGTGATACACAAGTGATACGTTTTCGCCACTGAAGTTTTTTATTTCAAATGCTAACACTGAAGTCCTGTGGTTTTAGCTCTAATCTTTGTGTTAGTGCATTTAGTTGCAATGGTATTTCCAATTTAAGCATGTACATCTGCGTTTAACAAGATGAGCCACATGCATTGTGCTTGGTGCATAACTTCCCAAAAAAATGTATTACTCAGATATGATGTAAGCCTTTGAGTTTGTTACAATATGTTAAACTTATTCATATGCAGATATAGTGTATTCATGTTGTGTTACATGATCATATGAAACTGGCTGACAGTAACGCAAGTGACATAGAACAGAATTATAGAGAGGATGTGGGGAAATGTGAAAGATAAGACTGCAGAAAAACACAGTGGCACCACAAGTCTGCAAACAGAGTGATAGATGCCTCTTTCAGAGGTAAAAATGCAGTGAGAAAAGCAGTTCTTTGACTTAAGGTTCACACATAAGAAGTAACGTGAAGTTTTACAATAAAAGTCTGCAAAGACAAATGGCTACTGGTCAGTGAGGTTTTTATACACTAGTTCAATACAGTAGGGGTAAACTCATGGTGGGACTTGTGGCTCTTCATCTCATCATCGTACTGCTGGTTGACCACATAGGAAAGATAATGGTGTCAAAGCAATTACTACTAACTGTTAACTAACTGGCCTAAATGTTTTATGTTTATTCTTTGCAATAAACAGGAGGGGATGGTGGGTGGTATAACATTTAGGCCAGTGGTTCCCAACTGGTGAGTTGCGGTCCAAAAATGGGTTGCAGGATCATTCTGAATGGAGAGCAAGTGACTTGCGAACATGTGAAGTTTGTAAAAATCACACTTTATTTTGAAGTACATTGAATTTCCAGCACAGAGCTTTTATTTTGAAATGCTGTTTCCTGCTGTAGAGTGAGTGACTAACGGACAGCTACTTAACAAAGACAGCAAACCAGCTTGATGGCATGGCCAAACACAAATATGACACTGAATGTGTCCACTGTGTGGACATAGAACTAATGACTAAAGAGAAATCTGGACCCCGTGGCTGGACCAGTTGGGAACCACAAAACAACGCATGTGCAATAAGGAACAGTGGTGTAGTGGTGGTTCATAAGGTGGGTGCACAATTGTGGAGGTGATCCAGGAGGAAGTGGGTATATATTCTATACATTCCTGTGGCTTTTTGGCTGAAAAGTGGGTAAACTGTAAACAGCCAGAAAAAGAGGTGGGTATGCCCTGTATACATGTGTTTCCCCTTCACTACACCACTCATCAGGATAACCACAAACTGTGAATTTTTCATGCTATAAAATAACTGAAACTGTTTTTTACGATGGATTTAAATGCCTTATTTGTTATTTTAGAATCATCTCAATAGCCATATAGAGAAAAGAGTTAAACTTACCTCTAAGCCCTGACACCATCATCATCTGTGTACATTACAAGAGCAAGTATTTTAGAAAACTTTCTGTCCCTAAGCTTTGTAACTTACCTGTTTTTAACAAGTTCCAATCTCTGTTGTAGATCCCAGCACTGTGAAGCCAAGGGCTGAGTTAAAGGACAACATCAAGACATCTTCCCTCCAAGATGCTGTACTGTCCTGTGAGCCAGAAAGCAAACACCAGCATATTTCTCCCATCAAACCTAACAGACAAGGTGACTTCCTTGAACCTGTTCACCATTTCCCTCCATGGCATTTTCGCTTCCATTGGTATATTTGAAAACCTCCTCATCCTGGGAGTAGTGGGCTTCCATGTCCGTCGCTCTGTCATCAGCATCTGGATCCTGAACCTCGCCGCCTCTGACCTGCTGGCCACCTCTTCCCTGCCCTTCTTCACCCTCTACATGGCCCGCGGCAACACCTGGACCTTGGGCCCGACCTTCTGCCGCATCCATTCTTCCATCTTCTTTCTCAACATGTTTGTCAGTGCCTTCCTGCTGGCGGCCATTTCTATGGACCGCTGTCTGGTGGTGCTGAGACCCGTCTGGGCGCAGAACTACAGGAACATCCGACTAGTGGGGAAGATTTGTGGGGTGCTTTGGGCCTTAGCTGTGCTATTCACCATCCCCTTCTACATCTTCCGTGATACCATTCCTCTTCCTGGTGGCAAGATCCTGTGTTACTACAATTATGCTCGCCTCCTCCCTGCTGAACCCTTTGACCTAGAAGCTTTGTGTAAGCAGCGTAAGGAGGCCTTGGCCCTCATGAGACTCTTCCTCGCCTTCCTGATCCCTCTACTGATCATCATCCTGAGCTATGCTGCCGTGAATACCAGCTTGGCGCACAGAGGCTGTCGACGCCCTTTCCGTTTCGTTCGGCTCGTAGTGGCTGTGGTGGTGACTTTTATTCTCTGCTGGGCTCCATACCACTTCTTCATAGTCTTGGAGGTGATGGCCCCCAATGAGCATTCTGCACAGAAATTTGCAAGTCGTGCGCTCCCAATCGCAGCAACCATCGGCTTCCTGAACAGTGTCCTTAACCCCATTCTGTATGTGTTCAGCTGCCCTGATCTGTGCAGGAAGATCAGGCACTCTCTGGGTGCGGTGATGGAGAGCGTTCTGGCTGAGGATCTGGCAGAGCTGTCCCGGCGCCGCAGCACCGCTCGCACCTCTATCAGCAACACCACCGAGGTTATGTTAAAGAAGAATGCTATTACCACCTATACAAAAGCAGATGAACAAGACCAAACTGAAGATCTTGTTAACTCTGCTCAGAGCTGAGCGATAATATTGTGTTAATGCTCTAACAGTGCCCAGGCTATTATTTGCTTCTTTAAAACGTATCTATATATGACACAGGCCTTTATTGTAACAATTATAGCTTAGCATATTTCAGTTAGAAGTTAGTGTTCTGATCTGCTCCAGTTTGAATTTGCTGTTGATAGCAATTGATGTTAATTCCAAAGCAAAACATATACCATGTTTACCTGCCGTCTCTGTAAATACTTCCACTACAACTACAGTTAAGACATACTCAGCTATCTACTGCTAAGAAATATAGTTTTCATCCACCTCCTATCACTTTCTAATTCCCTTTGCTTCCATGATGGGTTTGTTTGAGTTGATACTGTCAGTGAAACGCAATTCTTCCTGCACTGATGTTTCAAAGTAAAACCCATCCAGCGGCTCTGAAAGTGTTCGGTGCTTCATTCCAACGTGGTGGGAATAAACAAGAGAGGTAGATGAATAATAAGGAAATAACTTAAACAAACAGAAAAAAATAAATATCTCTTTGTGCTCAAAACATTATTACATTTAAAGGGATAGTTCACCTCAAAATCAAAAATACGTATCTTAGTGTGCCTTTACTCATGAGAAAGTGGCTAATGCTCATGACAGTGTGAGGGTAAGCTGTTGTGTTAGCTAGCTCAGTTGTGCTAGGTGAGCTAGCAGTAGACTCACGCTTTTTTCTGCGCAGTGATAAAGTTGGTGAGTGTATCTTGGTAGAAAGAAAATAGCTCCTACATAAATCTGCTCACAACAAGGTCTGTGGGTTATCTTGGGTAACCAGTTCGTGATTTCTGGAAAGAGACATTGCTGTTGAGTTTTTCATATACATTTTTTTGGCACTTTGAGCACCGCAAGCCGAGTACCATCTAGTTCCATTATACTGGAGAGAAGGCAGGCATCTCTACGGCCGACATCTCAGACACTCGGCAACTCACACCAAAACTATCCAGACTGATAAACAGCACTACAACTAACAGGAAAAATATGTATTTTTAATAATGGGATGAACTGTCCCTTTAAAATAATTAACTAAGACATACTTTCAATCAACCAGGAAAAAGGAGTATAAAATAGTTAGGGGACAGGGCCCACTGGATGCAAGTCATAAAGCTTACCAACAAGTTCAGTTGGAATAACCCCCTCCATTCTTGGTAGGCTTTTACTTTGAAAGACAGGCAGGAAGTATTACATTTCATTGGTAGAAACCTAATCATTTAAAAAAGACAGCAGAGTGGATTTAGGATTTAGGATTTAGTCAGCATTGCTCTGCAGTGTGTAAACCCCAAATGAATGGCAATTGCTGGAACAAACATACCGCCTACTTTATGATTTTGTTAGTTTTTAATCAGATGATTAAAAGATGTGTATATTTTGGTGGACGTACATTATTGCTCCTTTTTTTTTTTGCCTCTATGATTCGTAAAAAGATCGCACTGTAAGTCACAGGCACATGAGGTTAAAAAAAAAAAAAAAAAACATTTCTCTCACCTGATGTTATCAGTTGCTGCAGATGCTACATAAAGTATGCTCTTGCTTCTATAATAGAAAACAGATGATAGAGATTAAACGTTGTACTGTATATATGCTCCAATGCTTAATGCTTTCCACTTATGTAATGTCTGTATGTTTTTTGTAAGCATTAATAAATACAAAGGGAAGTGTTCTGCTGTTGCAGTGTGACACTTGCCTTGCTGTTATAACCACAGTCATGTTTTTGTTTCCTTAGTAATTCACACCCCTTTCATCTTAAAAGTAACTGACAGTAAACCGGTGATTAAGATACATTTTTAATTGTCATAAACAGTAAAAGTAGTTTGATTGTAAAATGTCCACAATGGTTCATTTCCATACACTGCTCCGACTTTTTAACCAAAAGCAGATGTAGTAAAAGACAGAATTTGGCTGTATATGTCTGCTTTGAGGCTACAGTGGATAGGTATGGATATTACAAAAGAGTGGATCTTTTGACAAATATGAAACAATGTCTCTACTCAGTTATATAGTGTTGAGTTCATGTTAAGAAACGGTTCAAGTCTTTGCACTTTGAGATCTGTGTGCTGCACACAAATGTTTCTATTTCCATCCTACTCTCACACAGTATTTAGATCAGCGAAAGAAACTATAAACCGAGTGGAAGTGTTTTTGCTGATGAGGCTGAAACTCTCTGAAATGAGTGTCTTCACCGAGAGCTGAAACACACTCTGCATTTCCACTGGGTGGCACAATTGCTTTGACCAAATCCCAGCTCTGTGGTCAAGTCCAAGTCATATTGCTAGAAGACTATTATGTCCAGTTTCACTCTCCCTCTGGTTGTCTGGGCGAGCTCTGGTATTGAGGGTAATCTTTTTGCGGGTGTTTTGCCCTCTCCCCAAACAGGGCAGGGATCTTTGCAGCTCCAGCCTGGCGTCAGGGCACAGGAATATGTAGAAGAGGGGATCCAGCAGGGTGTTGAGGCTGGTTAGACCGTAGCACAGGCGATAGACGAGGAAAATGGAACGCTCAAATTCACACGGCTCATCAGTCAGCAGCAAGGACACAAATCTGTATCCGCCCACAAGGTGATAGGGTCCAAACACAACAATGAAGTTGACGGTGATCACGACTAGGATGCCCACGATTTTGTGCCGCTCATGGTCAGAGAGGGAGGGGGATCGCCGGAGAGTCACCCCGATGTGGGCTGAAGTGTAGCTAAGGGAGGAAGCAGAGATGCAGATGAGTACTCAGCCTGTCAGCCCAAATAAAAAAAAAGGTATACTTATGTATATTTAGTAAACTTCCATTAACACATTATTATGTACTGAAAGTGTGCTAATCAGAGTACTTAACAAACTAACACATACCATTTATCCTACTTAAGACACACTGAAATACGGTTAAGTGTATTTGACTGTAACCTTTTGAGACACCATTAAGATGCACTTAAATATTCTTAAGTACATCTTTTATCACTAATGCTTTACGTTTTCAAATATATTTCAATGTAGTTTCAGATGAATGCTAATATTGCAATAAACATATTTGAATTAAAAGGTAAAAAAATACATTTTAAGTATAATTTATTTAAATCTGTAATGAATTCTAGTGCATTTAAAATATTACTTAAAAATACTTTAAGTGGAATCAAAGTTAATATTTTTTTAAAGTTATATTTAGGTATGTTTTAATGCATACAGTATTAATGGTATATTACTAATGATATAGTATTAGCATACTAAGTACATTGTTAGTACATAAAAAAAGCGCACTTTTAGTGCATTGCTAATAAGTACATGGAGTATACTTACATTAAGTCTAGTTCATTGTACTCCATTTTTTTATGTAGGTCTGAGTACATTATTAGTACATTGCTAATAAGTATATTAAGTGTCCATTGTGCTGGATTTGGGGACATGGAATTTAATTTTCATATTTATGTTTTCATGAGTAAATAATCACCTAAGACTAAAAATGTTTTCGTTATCTTAAAATGAGCTGTTACAGCTACATAGGGAGCGGGCCCTCTTCCACAGAGCTGGCCATGTTGTTGCTACAGTAGCCCAGAATGGACAAATCAAACAATGGCTATAGACAGGGCTATTCCTGTTTTCATGTTTTTGTGTTGGCCAGCATAGTTCTCCTACATGCTTGGCACATGGGAGATTTCAGTTTTGCAACCTCACCATTAAACACCATTGAATTCTAGACACTGGACCTTCAGTATACTTAGATTAAGTGCAGTTCTAGCAGTCAGAATATACAATGGTTTGATGTTTATTATAGGAAAATAGATAATAAAGGAACTTACACCATTTATTTTGCTTAACTGCAGTCACACACAAGGAAAGTAGCGCAGTGGCTCAGTCACAAGGGTTTTCTTGATGTTTTGTATATACAAATGTTTTCAGTTTATGTTGCGATTGTCTACCAAATTTGAATTGAATGATTTCAACTTGAAAATTCCCTTTCCCCTTAAAAATTTGGACGTGAAAAATTTCCTGTGCATTTGAAAAAAGTTGACTCATTTGACCACAGAACCTTTACATGAATAGGTTTGGAAGCACGACAGTGCATAACATGCAGGAGTATCCTCACTGGGACATTAGGGTTAACTCACCCGAGTATGGCACATGGCAGCAGGAAGCCCAGGGCCACGGTGGTGATCTTGAAGTGGGCATATCTGGGGCTGACGGGGTACTGCTCCAGACACAGCAGTCTGTCAGCATCAAACACTGATGGCAGCAGCCCACTCAGGCAGAACAGGAAGGTGAGGCTCCAAACCGCCACACCGGACACTGCTGCCACCCTGACAGTCCGCACCCTGCGGCTGCTCAGCGGGTACACGATAGCCAGGCAGCGGTCCAGCGCTATCAGGCATAGGAACATGACGCTGGCATAGACGTTTACGTAGAACACGTAGCCCACCAGCTCACAGGTTAGCTGCCCATATGGCCAGCGGTGTGCACCTTGGAGATAAAGGATCCACAGTGGCAGGGTGAGCAACTGGAGGAGGTCTGACAGCAGCAGGTTGAGGATGTAGACCAGCTGGCAGCCTCCTCCACCTGAGCGACCCAGGTGGTACAGTCCCCAGAGAGACAGCAGGTTGCTGGGGAGACCCAATGAGAAGCTCAGGCCATAGATACAGGTCAGGCCAAATGTGTCCGTGTCCAACGGAAGGTTGCAGCTGTCATTGGACATGTCTCTGCTAGTCAAGCACCTGACATGGGAAACTAGAGGTGGCCTTGCTCAGACATGGATTGACACTTGCAGGATGATGAGCTGGTGTGGAAAAACCCATTCATTCACTCAAGGCAAAAGTTATCAGTTTGATGCATCCACTTGTTATCTGTCCATTGCATAATATTCACAAATGCATTCTCCTGTAGAAAAGCTCAGACTTGGATTGAGTGCTGTCAGTCAACCAGTCTTCAAGGCATCCAGGATCCATTAGGGAACACAACCCTACAGAGCAGATATCAAAAGCATTCTCAGATTGTATTGGTGCCAGCAGGTGCATCAACAGTCAAGCTGTACAACTCAAACTAAGACTTTTCACTCACCTCTCAAGCCTGTGAGGCTGACTTTGTTCTACAAAAGCGTGCTGCCCGCTCAGCAGCTGGGTGACCTGTGCTCAAAAAATGCTGGGAACACGGTGTCTCGACCAAGCCTCCTCTATTCTGTGATCGTTTCCTCCACAGGAAACCCACTTCTTCAGCTTTAAAGGCAACATCCTGAGGCAGGAGAACGCCTTTCTGTCCCAGAACAAAAACATATACTCTCTCTTTCTCCCTGTCTCCGGCTCTCTTACTCCAGTAGCAGACAGGATGATTGAGGTGAACAGGAGCTGTGAGGGAAGGAACTGATGTAGGGTGTCCACTAATGCCCTTTAGATTGTCGGTTGCTGGCTATGTGCCAGTAAAGACATTAACCCTTCTGCTGTGCTGTCTTTCAACATGCTTTTCTACACATTTGAATAGTGTTTTCACTGCAAGTATACAGAATTTTAATTTAGCAGCTTAGATTTGTTTTTATGATTAAATAGAGCCGTAAGATTTTGTTTATATTGTGCATCTTGTTAAATGTGTGTGTGTGTGTGTGTGTGTGTGTGTGTGTGTGTGTGTGGACTGAAAGAGTAAACCATCAAATTTTGATATGCTTTTGTGTGTGTGCTAGGGTTGGGACTAGGGGTAGGGTTAGGGGTTAGGGGGTTAGGGTTAGGGGGTTAGGGGGGTTGTCTCCAGAGAATGAATACATGTCAATACAATGTCTTTCTTACTGACAAAAACAAGAAAATTGTGAATCAGATTTGCAAGACAGCTGATTGACAGAAGACTACTGTAAGACCACAGAAAGTGAGAGCACACAAACAGCCATGTAGAACAAACATTTGTTGCAGTAAAAAGAAGTCAATGTAGAGCTTAAATCTAATTCAGTGTCACTGACAGCATTCCTTCTTAACTGAAAATGATTTATATCATTTATCCAGTGTACAACCAGCAAATGTTTGATTTACCCGAGGTGAACTTTGCTCATGTACTACTGGGAGGAAAAAAAAAAATCTTACACAATTGAAATTGTTTTGGGGAAGAATGGGTATGTTGAGACAATGGGTGTTAGGCAGTATTTTTACCGCATGGTTTCAAAGGGAGGAGGGTCTTATCACTCACTTTGTTTCCTTTAAAATGTCACCAATCTCTGATTTATTGAATAATCTAAGACTGTAACTAATAAACTGGCCTGTCCCTTGAGACATTACTACCACCCCGTTTTCTCCAGAGCTGTACTATCAAGGTCATCAAGCTTCACATGACTATGACTCGAGTCAGACTCTAGCCACAAATTTTATGAGTTCAAACTCAACAAAATCATAAAAAGACTTGCAACTTGACATGGACTTTAATACCAAAATCTTGTGATTTCACTTGGATTTGAGCCTTTTCACTTGAAAATACTTGATACCATCTTTGGAAAGAGAAAGCTAGAGACATTTGTCCAATCTGAGATGAGTTAAATACAGAAAGACACCACGGAAACATACAAAACTCATTCTGTTGTGATACTGGTAGTGCAACATGAAAGTGCAAAGTCAGCGCTACTTTTTCATGACTACTTTGAGTCACACTTGTCTTAACAAACAAATACAAACTTTAAAATCATTCAGGATTCACTCTGTTGTTAAAATGGCATTACATCTGGTGAAGAGCACATTATGACTTCTTTAGGACTCAGAACTCAAAGTTTAGGACTTGGGACTTGACTTGGGACGTGAGTGTGAAAATTTCAGGCTTACTCGTGACTTGCAAAGCAATGACTTGGCCCCACCTCTGCCGTGCCCATATGTACTCCGCACTGGACATGGAGAGACAGCTATCAGCTGCACACCGCATTTACTGTCTCAGAGGAAGGCCCCAGTTGAAAGACAGTATAGGTTGTTCCTGCACCAGGCTGGCTGCAGGATGTCTTCTGCTGAAATTCAATCTTGTCATGTAAGAGTTAGTTGGACATACTGCATGCGCATAGAAAAAGATGGGGATGAACAAGCCAGTTGCCGGCGTAAATGTTGGCAATGGACATTTAACTTTTGTGTGTTAGCAGTGCTGGGGTTAATGTGGCGGCACAGTGGTAGAGTGGTTAGCAAGAGGGTTCCTGGTTTGAACCCAGGGTGGGGGAGCCCTCGTGTCAGTGTAAGTTTTCCCGGGTACTCTGGCTTCCTCCCACGATCCTAAAACATGCAGGTTAGGTTAATTAGTGACTCTAAATTGCCCATCGGACTGAATGTGAGCATGAATGGTTGTCTGTCTCTATGTGTCAGCTCTGGCAACCTGTCCACCCCACCTCTCGCCCAATGTCAGCTGGGATAGGCTCCAGCCCCCCCACGACCCCCAACAGGATAAGCGGTTACGGAAAATTAATGAACTGGGTTAATGTGTGGTTACACTTAGGCACAAAAGCTACTAGGTTAGGGTTGGGGAAAGATCATGTTTTGGCTTCGAAAGCCCGGTTTTGTTGCCACAAGCACTGCTGGGAATGCCCTGATGTCTCACTAAAAGACACTCAGTTTTGGTGTTTGTTGGCCTCGAACAGTGGTCCGCAGTTGCCTGCAGACAAACAAGGTAAAATCTTGAATTCTTAAGCATGGGTGCCACTATGGAGCTCTGCAAAATGAAAATCATACAGGAAGCTGCATTGTGAAACAAGCTGGCCTCAATGCTACATCCTTCTGCCATTCAAAAAGTCACTACTGTTGTATAGGATCTACAACAACATAATGTTATAGTTTAAAGTGAATACTGAAGCTCCCATTTCTACTGCTGCAACCAATGGAGCATCATCATCATAACACCTCATTTGGGGCCCTCTGTGGGTGGCTCTGTGGAGCAAGGTGTGAACCACAGCATGTGCTCTGGGTGTGCTCCATATTATCATGCAGCCCATTTTGTGTGTCAGCTAATCAGGTCTTGCACTTATCTTTTCTCTGAATTGCCTCCACACATTTCCCAATCACTGAAGGAAAATGTTACAATCTAGTGACCAAAGTACTTTTTCTCCTCAGTGTTTGAGCCCTCTGCTTGACTTGGTGTGAAGTTCTTTTTCTAAATTCAGCAGCTACAAAAACAATTTTGTACACGACAGTCTCACATTTGTTTGTGGTTTGCACTGAGAGATGTCATGATAAGACTCTGTGTGTTATTCTGTTTAAAGGTACAGCATAGCATGCGTATAGTGTCTGACATTTCCCATCTTACAGTACATGCCTTTTAAATTTATAGAACGATGATTTTTTTTTAAGGTCCCCATTATTTAATTATCATGTTCACGTTATCTTGGTGTGTTGGTACATCCTGTGGTCCTGTGGTATTGTGCAACTACTTAGGCAATATGATTACATAACTTCTGCACATTCCTCAGAATTCTTTAAGTTACAGCCCTGCAGAAAAGAATATATTAAAATGTGTTTAGTACGAAAAGTGTTTTTGTCTCAGTCCATATGAGCACTCAGTAGGTTCTTCTTCAAGCAAAGAATTTGTGTCTTACAGGAAGTTGTTGAAACTAAAGATAAACTCAGTGGTGAGGCTGTCAGATGGAGGTGTTCACCACTCTCTGTTTGTGAGATATTTGATAAACAACTGATATGATGAAAGAAGATGCCAGGTGCAAGCCATGCTTGAACGCTGCTTTGTCACTTTCTGACCCACCAACCCATGATATTTTCTGGTAAGCCTTTCCAAACCAGCCCAGGACTCACAGATGTGTCGATCCATCACTAGTTCCCGGCTATCATTCAGTGAATAGCCGGGATTTCTTGTAAATTCCCACAACCTATACATTAAAATGAAGTTTAAAACCTGTAGTTTTTAGCTGTAGTCTGTTAATTTCCTCCATTTAGAAAACCCTGTCAAAGTATAAATAAACGCAAGCGCAACATCATTGGAATTTAAACTTATTTCCTTCCACTGAAGGATGTATTTTCTACATGTCTTTACTGCAAATAGATTCTATCTACAATGCGAAATGGAATCATTTGATGTATAAAACATTCTTGTAAGTTTCTGGCTGATCAATGTCCCCTGTTAAAGGGTTGAGGGTAGGCTTTCAAACTGTTCATAAAATTTTGTTTGGTTATAAACAAAATTAGACAGAGAAAGAAAGATGAATAGCAGGCTAGGAAATATATTTTATGATAAATTCATTGCCAATAAATATTAGGTTAGAAAAGATTTAACTTTTCAAAAATTTCAGAAGCACTGCTTTGCTACAGTTTGCAGGTTGAACAACGTATTTCTTTAAAATGGTGTAAAATGGGCTTTGAGGTACCCTTTTTCTCATTTGTTGAGTGTGTCAGAGGTGTTACCCACTCAGCAGTGATACATGTCTAGTAGATCTTTACTTATTGTAATTGTATTGTAAGAATTTACTCTTGCTTTAGCAATGAAAACATGTATTTCCCACGCCAGTGTACCTGCATAACATAACATGGTGTTCAATGCACCTCTGTTTCTGTTCAAATAACCGTTTTGCTATGTTTTGTCCTGATATAGAGACAGCTCATTGTGTTGGTTGAACAGATACTGATAATGATGGCTCTGTACACTTCTACATAATAAAGATATGATAACTAGCTTGAAGTAGGAAGTTATGAAGCTTGACAAGAACAGAATATGATGAATTGTTTAGGCTAATCCTATAATATTCAACAGTTCCACATTATGTCTTTTAAAGCATGAAAGGACAACAAGTGATTTCCGAAACTGGCAAATCTCTTTGGGGGTCAAACAACCTATCAATTCTTTGTGATTGGCAAAAAAAAACATTTCTATATCTGGATTGGCTTCATCTAGGACAAACATTTCACAACAGTTTATACAATGATTAAAACCTTTAATTATTTAAAGATTAGGATATGAGGCAGAACTGTTTCCAAACTTAAAATGAGAGTCAGTAGCTGTTAAACTCCACTTATTTGTGGATGCTTGAGTGTTTATTCCCCCAGTAAACAGTCACTAAGCATGAGTTAGGTTTGAATTAGTTACTCTGCTTTTGTCTTTCTTCGGGACTTTCGGCAGCAGAGAATCTTACAGACTAAGACTGAAGCCCAGACAAACGCCCCAATGATGGCCATAATGAAAACAGCCACATCCAGGCAGTAGTAGGAGTACCAAGGCAGACTAAAACCTGCAGAGTGCAGATGGGCTGCTCCTTTGTTCCTGATAACATACTCGATCCAAAAGATGGCGGTGTCCATAGGAGACATTGGCCGGTCGTGGTGTAGCCCTGAGAGACGCTGAATGTTGTCACGGTACGAGGGATTCTCCAGGACGTCCTTTAAAGCCTCTAGGAAGTCTTCTTTTGTCAGTGATTCAGCTTCCACCACCCGAGCGGCCCCGCGTACTTTCAGCCGGAGCAGGTTGTCAAACTGGTCAAAGAGGAGGGGCAGGCCCACAACAGGCACGCCATGGTAAATGGCCTCATACATGCCATTGGTGCCTCCGTGGGCTACAAAGGCACGAGTCTTGGGGTGTCCTAGGAGGTCTTTCTGAGGCAGCCATTTCATCAGCAGGGTGTTGCTCCCCAGGGATGAAGGCTTTTCACCCACAAACTTCCACACCACCTTCTGAGGTAGCTGAGCAAGAGCAGCGGCGATGGCCTCTGTGGTCTCACGAGGCAGTGCTGACACCAGCGTCCCCAGAGACATGACCACCACCCCATGCTCCCCAGAGCTCTGCATGAAGGCCTCCAGCTCATCAGGGAGGGGACCAGGCTTTTTGCACTGGAACCCTCCTATGTAGATCACGTTGGGCATGGTGGGGCGAGGAAACTCAAAGACAAAATCTGCCCTCAACAGCCAGATATCAGCTGCACGCTGCAAAGACAGCAAGTCAGTTCCAGGAGGGAAATGCTGTTGGAATAGATCTGAGTAGGCAGGGTTAATAACGTAGTGTTGTTCAACAAAACTATAGAGATGATGTAACATGTTCTTGGTTCTTTCCATGAAATCCATCTGGTCATGAAGTTCACTTCCTGACACAGGGACATAGGAGACAGGAGAAGGAGCAATGGTGAAATGGCCCTCACCATTATTGATCCAACGCACATTAAAAACCATCGGGAGCTTGAGGTAACTACCCAGAATAACCCCAATAGTCAGACCAGGGTCGGTTAACATCAAGTCAAACTCAATATCTTGCAGCTTCTTTATAAAAACAGGATCATCTAACATTGTGGCAACCGCTCTAGCAAGGATTTCATGGCCCTTTGCCAACATGGATGTGATCAAGCGCTGTTGGCAGAAAGTGCGTATAAAAGTCAGCGACCTGCGGCATTCCATAACATTTAGTAGCATTTTATTGTAGTAGTTCAAGTCCGCCTCATCCTCCAGCATGGGCACATTAATAGAAGTGTAGATCGAAGAGTTACTTGGGATGTACCAGCTCCGGGCGGAGCGCAGCACAGTGATTTCGTGGCCTCTGGAATGCAGTTCATGGAGGATCACCTCCATGTTGATCCAGTGGCTGCCATCAACGGGCACTACCAGGATCCTGCTGCTGTTACAGCAAGTGGGCCCCAGCAACAGGAAGCAGAGCCCTGTCAGCAATATAGGGATCATGCTGGCCATTTTCTGGGAGAAACAACAGACAGAGATGATAAGGTTTGTAAAACTCTGTAACCTTAAGGTATAGCTTAAATTTTATCTGTCAGAACCCTACTTTACCCACGTCAATCACCATGTGGTCCACTGCTACATGTGGGCTATCTTTAGTATTTTCTATGTCACTTTGTTTGGGGGCTACAGGCAAAAACCTCAGGCTTCAGACCCGGATACTCTGCTTCTGTTTTTCTACATTCATCTTGTTTCTACTAAAACAAGATGACGTCAGATCATGACCAGGTACTCTGCTGCAAGTGCTTACTTTTCATACACTGCTACATGTAGCTACATGCTAATGTCAGGTAAACATGAAATCTTGGGTTCAGATGTTGCTAATTTCTCCTCGATTTCAGATCATATTTCTGCTGGAACATCAAAGGACTGCCCTGGAAGTGTGCTGGCCATAGTCGTGTCCAAACAGTGGAATTACTTCTGGGACTGTCACGTAATGCCATTGAGCCCAAAAGGACTTTTTTCTTATGGACTTACATTTTGAAAGAGACATCTTTAAATCAGTGGATACATTTTTTGAGCATCACAACATCTGCAGAATGACTTGTTTCACTACTGGGATTTGATGCAAAAAGTCCAATTAACATTTCGAAAGTCTAAGAGGAGCTGCTCAATAAACTGGGCCCTGTCTCGAATGCTGGATCCAGTTCTCTTTAAACATCCTTGAAGTACATGTAATCTTGGTTGACAGTGCTGTAAAATTTACCAAATTTTTGATCATGTTCTTGTTGGAACATATCCAGCTGTGAAGATTATGCCTCAGAAACTTTAATTGGTTATTTTTCACTGTAGAAAGTACCACTATTCATGGTTAAAGTCATTCCTTGGCTGCAATGACAGTGCATAGACACCAAGATTCAGCAGTTCTGGAAGACCAGAAAACGTGGAAACAAATGTGTTTTTTGACCGTTAAAGCATGAAACATGTGGTAGTAGTAGAAACCCTAAATACAAGTGCACCTGAAAATGAGCATAGTAAGGCCTCCATTAACCTTACATTATTGTTACAGATTTCCAACATTATGATTAGAAAGATTAACTTGAAGCCATAACTGATATTAAAGTATTCTAATTGCAATTGGAGTGAAGTTTAACTCCACAGTGAGAAGTACATTCATTCACTCCACAAAAAAAGAAAAAAGAAACTGTTTGCTTGAGCAGTTATCATACATATGCATCTTGGTGTAGTATTTCTATTTTATCAATGTGTATCTCTTGCTGTATGATCTAAAGTGAGATAAAAAAAATATAGTTAAAGGTAGTTCATAAATAATGTTTTTCTTTTTCTTTTCTTTTTTTGTTAAATTGAAAAAGAAAAGTACAAAAAGTTTACCTAATGTCTCACCTGGTTCTTGTTGTATCAAAATCCAGAAGTTTGGATTGAGCGACACGTCCTCAGTGAGATGGGATCCTGTGTAATATCTGTGTTTCTGCACAGCTTAACATTTACTCGTTACTGGGTCAAAGTCCAGCATGTGGGTTTACACTGATCCAAAGGTCTGTGCAGTGTAGTATAGTAAAGACTGATGTTGTAATCCAACTTTCTTGTTTGGTAACATTCTCCAATCCCTCTGGCTTGTGGGTATAAAGCAGGCTACAGTTTCTCTTATTTTATCATCTTTAATTCATACCAAAATACAGCAAGACAGCATTTCAGTCAGCTTCCCTCTTTACTCAACTCCAGCATGTTCCCCCGACTTTGTTACACCTGTGCCCTGCAAAACAATGGCACACAAGAACTACAGTTCCTTTTACTCTCACTTGAGGCTAAGGGAACATAAAATAGTGATTTAAAGGAACACATGAAAATTAGGGATGCACGATATTGGATTTTTGCCAATATCTGATATGCCGATATGTAACAACATTGCCTGAAGGGATTACATGTCTTGTCTGGCCTAAGAACGCCTCCAGGGCCCCCGGGAAATGGAGAAGCATTGCTGGGGAGAGGGCTGTCTGGAATGTTTTGCTGGGCCTGCTGCCCCCGATACCCAACTTCAGATAAGCGAGTGAAAATGGATGGATGGATGGATGGATGGATGAAATACCTAATTTTAGTGATCATCAAGTCTCTTCTGTAGTGGAATTAACATCATACTATACATGCATACTCATATTGTGATGGTCCACCAGCAGATGGAGACATAAAATACAATACTCTTCAGTGTCTGTAATATTTATTGTGCAAAATAAGAAAAAGCATGTTGGCCGATTCAGACAGTTCATTTAAAGCTGATGTTGCCCGATACTGATGATGTGCCAATATTACCGTGCATCCCTAATGAAAATATATAAATAAAATAAAGTGCTATTAATGATAATGATTTGGGTTTGGCGAATGTCTCAGTGACTCAACTCAATTCACAACTTGGATGACAGTTTTTTTTAGAGATTCCTAATTCAGTACTCACAGCCAAGTTCAATGCACAGATGTGACAATAGGCTCGTTTGAGAAGAGCCAGGCCTGCACAGAATTGATCACCACCGACTGCTGCCCAGTGCATGCTGGTTAAGGTCGAGACATACCAAACCAACATCAAAGAAATGGTCTCGACAAAGTCCATCTGTTGCATCACCTCACATCGCCTGTGTCTTGGCCAAAAAGTTGCTTTTCAACATACTGCAAAGACGGCAGCCAACAGCCAATAGCACGTACGCTCCACACCGACATGAGAGGAAATTGCTCTTCATAGCAGCAAGCGCTGTGGTCTGTTTTTGTTATTCAAAAAGGGGAAAGTTGAAGACCGACAAGACGGATTCAAGATACTGATTAGCCAGTAAGCACAGAGTGTTGGCTTGGCGCGTCAGGGCCCTTAGATTTGTGTCTGACTTGAGCCCAGCTTGCTCTGACGTCATGAACACGTGGCGACAATAACTTCACAAGATCGAGGCAGCCGCAGTTTTTAGAGCCAGGAGCTGCAGTCACTCTACACTGATTGCAAGAACCAGGGCATTAATCTTTATTTCACTTATTCTGGGACTGTCTACCTGTTACAACAATCAACCAGAGTTTTTCAATGTCAATTTCCCTGTGTGCCCCTAAGTATGCTTGCTGGGCCTGAAGTTGGATAATAATGTTGGAGTAACTGTTGAGTGTCTATGGACACTGGCTCGCCTATCTACTAAGAAACTAATTCTTTTAAACTGGAAGTAGTGTAAAGCAGCCTGCTTCACAAGGGACTCTTGGCTGGACTTACTAAACATTGAATGGGCAGCCTGCCTGTTGAAAGACTTTGATAAGGGGCTGGAAGACCACTGGGACACTGTCCTTACACACTAAACAGTGGCCCCCAGTTTGTATATCTGTTGTATGTTACATATGCTACGTGAATGTCGCCCCATTCATACAGATCTTAAAGTATCTATAGTCTGTTGTATATTAGTAAAGCTTTAATTGGCCTACTCTATCATAATTAGAACAATTTGAGACTGTGAACAAACTGATAGGGTCTGATAACATTACAATAAATTGGAATCAGATCTAACAGGATGTGGGTGTTTCTGTGACTTCCTGTACAGACTGAGGGCTGCTGAAAGCTATCCGACTTGACTGTGGCTTTGTCTCACCGCCTCTTGCTGCTGTCACCTGATCTCGTCTACTTTTGAGGCGAGGCGCGCTTCATCTCGAACGTGCCTAATCTGATTGTCGAGGAAACTTCAGAGAGAGCAGGGGGGAAAATCCAAACTGGGCCACTGTCAGAGAGTGTGAGACGGGAGTGGCAGGGAACGAGGGAAGGCGGAAGCAGCAAGGTCACACAGCGGAGGGAAAATAAAAGTGAACATTGGTGATTACAATAACAGCACGAGTCACTGTTCAACAGTCATATCAGTGAGCTGCAGCCTTCCCCTTTTCTCCTCTGCCTCTGTGGAGCAACATAAACCTGAGCCAGGGAGCAGCATTCAGCTGGAAGTAACAGCTATACACAGAGATGAAGACATGAGGCTTCAGAATTTACAACAAGTAGTAACAAGATCAGGGCTTGTTTGTATCATTACTTATTACTGAATCACCCTTAAGAATGGCTGAAAGAGCATTCTTTTCTTAAAAACACAATATAAGCATAACACTCCGACTTACTGTTTTTGTGATCACATGACTAATGTCATGAGTGTTCAGACAGCCAATCAGAGACAAGGATTTCATGCAAGTTAATTCTGTGGAAAAAAAAAAGAAGCTCTGATACGCTCCAAAATCCTTTATGATGAAGCTAATTAAAGCTAATTTTATGTGTGAAGCCACCAATCACACTAAAAGGCGTAGCATCATAGGAATACTATAAAGAATGTCAGACTGGAGCAGGGAGGAAAGTCTGCTGCTGGTAGAGATGGTAGCCTACATGAGAGTGAACATGTAATAAAATGAATGTTTGCATTAGATTTTACAAGTGGAGAAAGAAGGTAGTTGGAATGGTAAGAAAAACAATGTCATCTTTATTTTTGTTGTTTGTACCCCAGAGGAATTAAAAAAGAAACATCCTAACATCCTTTAAAAGCTACATTTGACACTCACAAGAAAGCAGCAACTGCATCTGGAGCAATAAATGTATTATATTTTTGTTACTCTCTCAATTAAATGACATGTTTCTATCGTGACCAATGATATATTGCAAAGTCACTTAAAAATCCTCAGAAGATGAATTCTTGCCTCTGTGTCCATCCATCACCCATTCAAGGCCCTATAGACTACTCTTGACCAACTTAAAGGGTAACTGTGGTATTGTCCAACCTGGACCCATGTTTTTGTGCCTATCTGACTACTGGGATCATCAGTTTTTAAGATTGTTACAGTATTGATGGAGACAGTGAAATAGGCGGTGATGCGGGCCTAATTCCTGCAGGCAACTGAGGACTGAGCCACTAAGAGCGCTCGGATTGTTATTACAAGTGTCTGACAACTTATTGAAAGGATCCTTACTGAGGTTGATCTTTGTGTTATTGAGTAAGATTCTTTTTGTTTAACCAGAAACGTATGGGGTGCCGTTTGTAAAGTGGCTCACGCTGAAAATAACATCAACATTTTGCCACATTTAGCTTCAAACAATGTTTAAAAAAGTGTTGTGAATTTTTTTACTTCACCTTTTACCACATTTACAGCAATATTTGTTAACTTAGAAATATATTAAATAGTTAAATCTAAATATTAAATGTGGTACCTAAATATTAAATGTTAAATCTAAATATTAAATCTAAATCTAAATGCTAAATGTTAAATCTGAATGCTAAATCTAAATATTAAATCTAAATCTAAATGTTAAATCTAAATGCTAAGTATAGATATAAATATAAATATTAAATCTAAATATTAAATCTAAATCTAAATGTTAAATCTAAATGTTCTGGGTGAAACTAAATATTTAGGTAATATGCACATTCACACTGCCAGTCACCGCAAGTACCAAAATAAAAGCTCGAGATGATCAGACTGTGTTTATAGAATCAAATAACGAATCGGGGAAAATGAACACTTGAACATACATTAGCGTTATAATAATGACCTAAAATAACAAGAAACATGTTTGGAGAAATTTTATCTGACGTGTACTTTGAGTTGTTAGTGTCCCTTCGGAGGGACTAACAACCTAAGCTAAGCTAACAACCGTTAGCTGTTAGCCCCATTAGCGGTGTCTGTAATGACTCATTAACTCTTAAACGGTCCGTGAAAAAAATATTTTTTCCAGCGGATATCTTAGTTACAACATGATTGAACTAGCAAAGCAGTTTTGTGTTGCGATGTGTGGTATTTATTCAGTTTTGGGAAATCACGATGTCTAGAAAGCATCAGTGGCCGCAGCAGCAGCAGCACATCTGCTGGAAAAAAATATTTTTTTCACGGACCTTTTAGAGTTAATTTTTTTCTTTTTTATTTTTTATTTTAACCTTTAATGAGTCATTACAGACACCGCTAACCGTTAGCTGTTAGCCCCGCTAATCTACGATAACCATGTTATTAATTTCAAAACGTGATAGTAATGTTTGTTCAATCATTGTGTTTATATACTTGACAAACACCAGATTAGTCTAAACGGTGATATAGTGACGTGAAAAATGTGAGATATTCATATATATATGTAGCTAAACTCTGCTGGTTTTCTACCTGGAAGTATTTGAAAACAACAAGGTGATTCCCTCCGAAGGGACACTAACAACTCAAAGTACACATCAAATAAAATTTCTCCAAACATGTTTCTTGTTATTTTAGGTAGTTATTATCACGCTAATGTATGTTAAAGTTTCCATTTCCCCCGATAAGTTGGTTTTAATTCGTTATTTGATTCTATAAACACAGTCTGACCATCTCGAACTTTTATTTTGGTACTTCCGGCAGTGTGAATTTGCATATTAGCTAAATATTTAGTTTCACCCAGAACATTTAGATTTAACATTTAACATTTAGATTTAGATTTAGCATTTAGATTTAACATTTAGATTAGATTTATATTTAGCATTTAGATTTAACATTTAGATTAGATTTAGATTTAATATTTAGATTTAACATTTAGATTTAGATTTAGCATTTAGATTTAATATTTAGATTTAGATTTAGCATTTAGATTTAACATTTAGATTTAGATATAGATTTAATATTTAGATTTAACATTTAACATTTAGGTGCCACATTTAATATTTAGATTACTTAACTTTAGATTAACTTATTTCTAAGTTAACAAATATTGCTGTAAATGTGGTAAGAGGTGACGTTAAAAAATTCACAACACTTTTTTAAACATTGTTTGAAGTTAAATGTGGCAAAATGTTGATGTTATTTTCAGCGTGAGCCACTTAACAAACGGCACCCCATAGAAACGACCCCAAAATCGCCATTGCCAAACGCACCAGACTCCATTTAAATGAATAGTCATTTAAGCATGTATAGAGCCAGCATATTTCCACATCTGAGTTTATTTTAATCAAACTAGCGTTGGTGATTGGTGACAGAGTGGGGGAGACGAACCAAGATGGTTTCTGTCGACCTTGCATGAAGTGTGTTTGCGCTGATAAAATTGTTTATTTAATTGGAGTCTAGTGGGACAGCAATAGGGCTATTTCTGGTTAGGCAAAAAGAATTTGACTCTTTTATAAAGAGGTATATCCCTGTAGGGATCCTGTCCATAATATTGTCAAATACTCAAAATGACAATCTGAGCCTGCCATTGGCAAAAACAAGCACTTTTAGTAGACACACAATAATGGTGCTCCATTGTCTGTGGGGATTACGTTGCAGCCTGTTTTGCCACTGCCATTTTAAGCAACCTTAAGAAACCTCAGAACTGGACCAAGTTCAGTAATTGTTGTTCCAGTCAGTCACTTAGACACAAAAACATGGGAAAATGGGGTCCAGGTTTTAAGTTATCCTTTAAAGCAACACTTACCTTTCTGGACATTTTACGCTTTTCTTTGTTTAGATTAAAATGCTATTAATAAGCTGATGGCACACTACAATGTAAGTGTATTCCACCAGAGATAAAAACTCCTAATTATACCATTCTCATATTGGCCGAGCATCCTGTCTGTCTTCCCCACGTGGAGGCCTCCGACTGACATAACTGCTCCCGTAACATCCCCAGCCACTCCCAAAAAATCTCGGGTCAAAATCGGCTCTGCTTTCGAGTGATCGTGAAGACTGATGCAGCTTCATCCTGAGCTAAAAAGCGACGAGATGGTTGCAGAGTTTCTGCTGGACAGGTATTGTTAGTAGCCTCCAATGTAACATAGGCTATAACGTTATATGACAACACAGCATCCAGTTGCTAACGGTTAGCCTACTGTCTTGTTTGTTGCCAGTCACCAGTACTAACATTAGCGTTTACGTTATATTATAAAACTCATCAGTCATCACTGACCCCGGATAAGTTTCAAAACTCCAGGGTTGCGTTTGACTGTGCAGGACAGGTAGCGTTATGTTTTGTTTGCTTCTAATATAACATATAACATTATATGACAACACGGCATCCAGTTGCTAATGGCTAGCATTAGCCAACTGTAGTGTAGCCTCTGATACATTAACGTTATCTTCCTTGTGCGTTTCCACTTACTAGTAATGTTAACGCTACTATCTAACGTTAGCACTGTAACCTTATTCTAAAACTAATCAGTCATCACTGACTCCGGTTGAGTTTTAAAACTCCGGGTTTGCGTTTGACTGTCTTGGTTGTAACATTACACTTGCTCTCCTCTTCCGTGTATCTAACGTAACCTTGCCAATGCCTACGTCTATCATAGACGTAATGAGGACGTAATGGAGGAGGGGGGAGTAGGCCTTTGGAGGGAGGTGGAGTTGCAGGAGGAGGGGGATGGGACTTTGGACGGAGGTGGGACTTCAAATCGGATGTTCAAATTTTTGTGCTGTGTGAAATGCAAGAAAGGTAAGAGCTGATTTAAGAGTATGTTTTTGTAAAGAATCATGATAAATAGCCTCCCAAGTTAATGTAACATATTTCTACTTTTCTTTCACTTCACAAATTTCTCACTTTGAGTTTCACAAATAGGAGCCTAGTTGTGTTAAGGATGACATAAACCATCAGTTGACTGAACAGTGTAAGTAGCCAGTTTAAGCGCTGAAAAAAAACCGAGATCCATATTTATCATTTATTTTTACATTTTGAATCAGAACTAAATATAATCTCACCTCAGAGCGGGACATAAGTGCTATTTCTGAAGCTTCCTACGCACCCACCCAGCAAGCAGCAAGAGATCATTTGAGAAAGAAAGGCATCACACTCACATATCTGATTAATCATGACATCTTCTAGCTTTTATCAGAAGGTACACTGTAGATTCCAATGGCTCCAAGATGGCGTGATGCAGGTAAAGTGAAGATAATGACAAGCATGTAAAGGTATGCATTGTGCTGTCTGAAACTACTAAACTTCCTTGTTCTTTAACATCCAAAATTTGACCAGATATGCATCACTATAAGAATTATGGGCTAGTTTGGACTTGTTTTTCAGATAAGATTTTATATTGTGGCCCAGGTGCATTGCACTTTATAGGTTATCTGATAACTCGTAAAACTCAGAGGCTGGAGGTTATGTCTCCCTGAGCAAAGACACAAAAGACAGTGGTAATGTAGCAGCTATGAAAAAATAAAGTCTTCCTTTTATACAAACTCTCCTGGATTCTGTAGCGGTGATAAACAGCAACTCTCATGGACATGGAAACAGGGGGTGTGCGATGGGAGAAACACTATCTGGCCCACGGCACAATCAGCAGGGGGAGACAAAAACACTCTCCAAACTCAGATGGGTTTCAGTGACAACAGGTCTTATCTGAGAGGGAGTAACAGATCCTGTATCAGGAAGGTTCAAAATAGCCTGGGCAGTTTCATGAAACATTTCAGACTAGAACACTTTAAATTGATAATGGTCTTCATATCAAGGAAAACAATACTTCTTATGATTTATGTCCATAGGAAAAGGGTAACAACAAACCTGCACATGATGGAATGCCAAGTTAAGCAAGTAGTCCCTGTAGAATACAAAACTGGAGTAAAGATGCCAATCGGTCTTCACATTTTTCAAGTAGGTTGCTGTTTATTTCCTGCGAATACTTAAAACCATTTTGTTTTGGTGGTGCTCAGTTTTATTTAAAGACCAGTTCATTTAGGACGGCCTGAGCAATTGGGCACAAAAGTCATTTCCCAATTTGTAAAAGTCTAAATTTGGGGTCAGTGGTTAGAGTTGAGGTTAGGGATGGGGTTCGGGTTGGGGTTGGGTTAGGGGTAGGGGTTAGGCAAATAGTGGTCATGGTTATGTTTAGGGTTAGTGGTTCATTTAAGTTAATGCAATGTCCCCAAAAGTGGCATAAAAACATTCTCTTTGATGTTGAAATGTCAGCTGTATTTGAGCTGTTGGGCCTTGGACTTGTCTTGGACTTGACCTAAGTGTTCTTGACTTCAGCCGTTGTTTAACGTACACTTGCGACTTAGTCCAGATATCCCCTTGACATTATTTCCATGCACCAGGGGCAAACAGCACCTGCCATCCTACAGAGGAAGACACTTTTTAAGACATTTCAATCTTTGAGTTTCAGACTGCATGTTGCTCATGAACACTTCTGTTACCATGGTGATTGGGCAAATAAGGAAGGCCTGAGAATGAAAATATTTATTATAGTTTATTTCTCATGGGAGTCTTTCGGCATTCATTGCACCTTTTCAAGGTTGACCTAAAGCCCAAATATCTGAACAAAGCTCCCGGGACAACCGCCGGTTCAAAACCTTTCCTTCCTTCAATTGTTCTGCGTTATGATATGGCTCATTTCAATCCCCATGACAGTGTCCACACCATGTATTCACATGCCTAGCGTGCACTATCACTATTTATCAAAATAGTGGTCAAATCTCTGGAACTTCCTTGAATGCACACGATACAATCATTCATCCTCCTAATCGAAAAGCCTGTTGTTTTGAGATAGTCTGTGCAGTGCACTTTTAATTTTAACTGTAATTTTAAAAACACTATAGCTTTTGATCACGTGGAGCACTTTAAGGCATGATTTAGACATACATGTGTGGTTAGCATAGGGTAGAGCACTGACTTTGGAACTGTTTAAGAGGACCCACAACATCATGTGTTTATTGCAAAGTACTTTAATTTGTGTGATATGAAAAATCTCCAGCAACTAATACAGACTGAATAATTCAAGAGCATAAATGTGGAACAACTCTGTATGTTTTATTACAAATGCATCTGCAGTGCAACTTCTTCTGACTAACAATTACAATATTCTAACTGGTCATACAAGAAAAGTGAAATTTGTACATCTTTATAATGAAAGGTATGCAGGAAAATAATGTTGACAGTCTACATCCATGTTAGCAATTTGTCATATAGTGCTTTGAGCTACCATCAGCATGCTAGTATACTAGTATAGCGTACTCACAATGACAATGTCAACCACCAGACTGGGGACTCCCTATTGTTCCTACTGCTCATAATTCTGAAACCTCAATAGTCTTAAAATGTCCCATTGGACTAAGAGCCCATTTGTGCGACAGCCTGTTATATAACGAAAATACAGTTTTCAAAGCAGATCATCCAGCCTCCCTAGGCAACTTTTTTTTCCTGCTATGGGGAAGGTATGACCCGCTCTACTCTGCTTCTCATTGGCTAGTACTTGTTGCCTTCACTGGTTGGGTTGGTTGGGTCAAAGGCATGATGAGTGAGATTGGTTACCATTATGATAAGAATATCTGGGTTAAGCCAGTCAGAGGCAGAGTAAGGTAGGTCATGCCTTCTTCTGAGTAGAAATGAAAATAATGTGGCAGGGCCGGCTGATTACAGTCCTAGAGAGAGAGCATGTATGTATGTATGAAAAATGGGCCTTCGGAGCAATAGGTGTTTGTTTTTGGGATAACGGCTGTCTAACAGATTGGCTTTAGTGCTGATGGAACACCTTTCAAGCTATTGAGGTTATGGAGTAATGGGCAGTTGGAACAACGGCATGGCACCAATAGGGAGATGCTAAGCAGGTAATGTTTACCATGTTCACTGTCTTGATATAGCATGAAGCATAAAGTACAGTTGTCGCTGGCTGATGGGAATAATATTAGTTTTGCAGTATTTGGTCATAAACAAAAATAGTGGACAACTTAAAATTGTAACCTGCTAAATAAAACGTCAGAAGATCACCAAAGTCAGATGATTCATCTTCTAGGGATTGTGACTTTTTGTACCAAATTTCTTTCAGTAGACATGCTTTTGACAGTTCAAGATCCCCAGTCGAAAGCCACATAGCTAAAAATCACCACCACATAACAAGTGAAAATGAACCCATGTATAAACATATAAATAGTCTACTTCTAAAGAATAACAATCAGTGCTAGGGATCAAGCGATCCGTCTGCCAGAGGAACACATAAAACATCTTCGAAGTGACAGAGGAAAAAGAAAAGTTGCATTAGCGGATGACAAAAGCCAAGGCCAATGCTTATCTCTTTTCTCTGTCATGAAGTGATGTAACACATATGACCCTCATGTGCTGATCTTTAATCAGCTGCTCAGTAACATTCCTCAGAGGCAGACGGCTTGAAACAGATCACAAGTAATGATGATGCTGTGGGGAATTCAGCAATGTGTTCTTATTGGACCGTCATGTTGACGAAGGTAATGGGACTACTCCTTGCTTTGATTTCTCTTGCCAGTTGACACCAGTTGCAGGGCCCGCAGCAGCAGGCAATCACGCAGTCATTGCAAACTGTACCCTGTGAAGACAGAGAGACACAGGTGGGGGGTAGATAAGAGGGGTTAGAAGTTCAGCTTTTAAATGGTTCATGATCACAAATACAGTTTTACACAAGTAGACTGATTTGCATCACACTACAGCTACCAGCACTGCAACACAGCTGATTTATATTTATTGATATTAATCGCCATCAAAGTCTACCTAAACAAATCGGCTGGAACAAAGGAACACCGTGTACTGCTACCCGCTTTAATGACCATACTACATGAATTGCTGGATGTTGTCTAGGAACATAAACACGGACTGTGACAAAAGGCTGAACAGGTTTAAGACTGATCAGAGATCAGATAAACACTCAAGGCAACAAGGACTTTTATGCTGGTAAACAGTTTGCTTGTAAGTACTGACGCATTTGAGGTGCAAAATGCCTAAGGCTTAGAAAGCATAGCATCTGTACCTCAATGCCATATCGCGTGCGTACTGACACCCTGAGGGCTGTGGTTATAGGAGGAATGAGTCCATAAGCATCCAGCAGAGGTAAACACACACACTCCCCGGCCTCAAATGATGTCTTGCAGGCGAAGCAGGGAGGACACCAAAAGGCAAGACAACCTGTAAAAAAGTCACATTTATGATTAACAAAAGGACTGTGCTCATCTAATCTCAGCTGTCAATGAAATCATGGTCATATATCTTTTCTGGAACTGTTACGCTTCTTAACGGTGTACACGCATCACTGTTGCACTCAAACAGAAAAATTGCAAACAAGTCAGAATGTTGAGATTTGATGTCTCGCATTATCTGATAGAAACTGCTGCTGCTAGTTTGCAGGATGCTGCTGGTTTGCATTATCATACGGCACATCAAAACACTGCAATGCCTGATCTCCAATCTTCTGTCTAAAACCAAATCTGTGTGACTGATCAGCACATTTTCAACATCACGCACAATGGAGGGATTTAGATGGTGATTTCTTGTCTCAACACGTGTACTAAAAGCCACACCTCCTTATTGGTCACAGTAAAATACAGTCAGGTCCACTTACACTGGGGCAGGTCTTGGCAGCAATCACAGATGCCAGAGGTCCATTCGTGGGATGTCGTGTTCATGATGAACGGCCTGGGCTGATTAACGACCATTTTGCTAGTCATGATTGCTGTTTCTGACAAAAAAAAACAACAAAGAAGCGCAGATTACAGAAAATGTTGATTCAAAAACCTCCGCTAATTGTAAGCACTTGGTTCCATGGGTGTCAGTTTGTGTTGAAAAGTGGTTGGGGGAAAAATCTGTGCATCTAAAGGGAAAAGCCTACAGGCTACTACCAAGGGTGATGTTTCTTTTCAACTTTTGGGTGGACACGAGGCAGAGGCTCTTTGGGTCCACCCCCAGGAGATTTGGGGCATCAAATACTTCATTTCATGCATTCAGGTGAATTGTATGCACCAATTTATGGTGGAAATGTGTTTATTAATGTAAAAGAAAACCATACTTGGAATGGGAAGAGTTTAAACCAGACCTGGGTAGAGCTTAAACCAGGTATTGCTAGGACTAACCAGCAGTTGTTTTTTGAAATTTTGAAATGGATATGGGTTAATAAGAAGTTACCATATTTATTATTCATTGGAAAACTATTTAGAGTACAGCCTCGGAATTGAGTTTCAGATCATTTTTGATCTGAGGAGAGAGTGAGAGACGAACCCAGCTTGCAGGGGTACGGATATTGTCACATTTTAATTGCCTGACACTCAAACTTGTAGAAAGAACATTATCTGCACTGGGTTCTTGCTTCATCTTCCTAACTTTTATAACACATCCTATTTTGTGTCTTTTCTTTAGTGAAGCAACATCTTAAAATGTCTTTGTTTTTAGCCTTACATTTGTCTTCTCAATATTTACATTGTACTTTATATTTTTGTTTATTTTGTTCTAATAAACCTTACTCAAAGCATTATAGTTTTTCAGTTAACATTTCTTGGCACAAGCTTTTTTCCCACCATTTTTGACAAATTACACTTTTAAAAAGTGATGGGGACAAAACCAGCCGTTCTAAAAAGGGGACACGTCCCCACCGTCCCCTACTATAAATGACGCCTATGCTTGAGTTCATAAAGCAAAGGTGGTAGTAATGTCAGTGTATCATGGTAAATGATACAATACACTGAACATTACTATCTGCATTGCTTGGAGAGGATATTTCTTCGGTGGCACCGGTAGAAAGTTTTCTGTAATGGTGGCCAGATGGAGCCACTGAAAGTCTTGTGGTGGCACACCAAAACCAAAAGCCATAACTAAATTTCAGGAATTTTATTATGCTGTTGAAGTATGTAGGCAAGTTGAAAATGATGTCAGTATGAGGAGTTAAGGAATAACATACTGATAAACTTTGGTTTCTTATTTTACAGTAAATGTGACTAATGATCTGATGTGCATAATAGCAATACAGTTAACATTTGAGTTCCACAAGAATCTTGTTTTATATTCAGATATCTTGAGGTGAGAGTTCAAGGGAACCCTTTGAAAATGGCCATGCCAGTTTTTCCCTTGCTAAAAGTAATCCTAAATTGAAGCATTTAGCTGGAGTCCCAACAAGCTATGCCAACATGGTTAGTAGCCTCCAGTTTCACAAAATACCGCTACCTAGCTAGCTTTAAAATGAGCCTGCCACAGCATCTTAAAGACAGTAATATCAGCCTCCAATTACTTTTTGCCATTGGGGTGGCAGTGGGAGCACCAGCAATTATCTGGACCTCCCTTACAGGTGCCATTGATTTTCTTGGTTCCTGAGAAGCAGACATGCTATTCAATTGACTACTGCGAAAGTACATTTGAACATTAAATTTTACACCTACTTTAAGATTTCATATATTTGGAGTATTGCATTTTTGCGGTTCATTTTATAAACAATTACATTATGGCTAAAATAAACTTTAAAAAGTAGCACACCTCTTGGAAATCAGACAAATTATTTTTTAAAAATTCATTGCAAGATTTTATATCTGTTATTTGCCACAGAATGGTTCAGTAGTTGTGGACTTGATATCTTTAGGCAATAATATCAGTAGCTGGAGTCATAATTGGCTAAATTGACTCATTAAACCAAAATGAAGTTTATTTACTAATTGTGTGGTCCAAGGAGCAGTGCCCGATTTAAGATCCTGGTGATTTAACAAAAGTAGAGCCAAGGTTTTCAGTTTATAGTTCTAGGAAAGAGAATTTCACACTCATAAGTATACCGAACAGTCATGAGAGTTACACATTGCTGTAAAAGCCTCATATCTTTGACCTTTCTGAAAGCAAGATAAACAGATTTTATAGTAGTGTACAGCTCCGTAGGTTAGAGTTCAACTACTTCTGCTCTTTGCAAAAATCCACAGGTTGCAGAATTTCCTGAACAGCTGGATCGGCTTTTGAAGTTAAAAATATGAAATCACTGCTAATATAACATACAAACAAGAAACAAGGTTCAATGCATGAATTATTATCAGGAGAAGTTTTCTTTTTTGAAAAAATACAGTATAATTCAGTATAAATTTGAAATTACTTGATCCCTCCTACAGCCAATCTGGATGCTGTCAATAAAACTATATACTTGTGGATTGTCTTACCTTACTTGAGCAGAGTTCAGTGAAGTGATGGATTTGCAGGGCAGCGTAGCATCTTATAGACTCACTGTAGAGCAGTGAACGTGACAGGACAACAGGGGATGCATATCACTGACTGGTCTGTCCAGTTGGACACGCGTCAATACTTTCAACAGTCAGACATCATACTATCTGCCCATCACACATCATTTAAAATCTTAGACGTCATTGTGCTACAAAATGCACATTACCTCATTTTTTAAAGGGTGTTCGTAGACAGAGGTATGTGATAAGAACAGAAGAGAATGTCCTACCTACAGTGTTTATCCTGGTGTGCCTCTGTGCCTTTGTTTTAATGTTACAGAGTGGTTAGTGAAATAAATGATTTTCTTTCTGTTCCCTCTGTTTCTTTCCCTGCCTTTCTCCAAGACGATGATCTTTTGAGGATGAAAAAATGTAATAAATGATGTTAAGTGGAAAAGTAAGATTAGTCTTAAATAATTATTTCAATTAATCTACAATAATGTCTCAAGAAAATGTTCCTTTTCTAATTGTGGGATCAATATATTTTCCTTCTAAAATCCATATTTTTGTCCATCTGGGAAAATGCTCAAATATACCAGGAATGATTTTTAAATGGAGCAGCGAGTTGCATTTGCTGCATATTTATAAAGAAATGTAAACAGACTGTTAACCATATGAAATTGCATACAATTATATGTCTTTGTAAATGTGTGGCAAGATCAAACTTATGTTGTCCAACAGAGAGTTTACAAACTTTGTGTTCTAGTTGTAATCATCTGTGCGTTAACTTTTTTAAAGAATAAAGTGGTGGATGAAGTATTCAGATTTGTAATAACGTAAGAAAATTAACAATATAACCCATTGTAAAAAATACTTGCGTGTGTGTGAGTGTGTCTGTGTGTTAATTGAAAAAAAACATGATAAAAAGTCATAATATAGTATGTAATCAAAACTGTCAAAAAACAACCCCATCTCATTCCAAAGTCATTGAATACAGATGTTTGGGCAGTGACTGTCAGCGTCAGACACAGACCATGAAAGCCTTCTTGTCACATCAGCATGATATGCAGTCAGTAGCTGCTGTGTAATGTGTAAAGTATAGTATGTCATATATAAGTCATAGTATAGTATGTCATATAAAGTCATAGAATAGTATGTCATATATAAGCCATAGTATAGTATGTCATATACAGTAAAGTCATAGTATAGTATGTCATATAAAGTCATAGTATAGTATGTCATATACAGTAAAGTCATAGTATAGTATGTCATATAAAGTCATAGTATAGTATGTCATATACAGTAAAGTCATAGTATAGTATGTCA